AACAGGTAATAAAATTTGGACAGATAAGGGAAAAAAATTAAATAGACAAGGTAAAAAAATTGAACAAATATGAAAAAAATTGGAAAGATAGTGAAAATTTCGAATAGGTAAGAAATTTTTTGAACAAATAGGATTTTTTTTGAATAGATAGGAACAAAATTTGAACAGGTAGTCAACAAAAGTCAACAGATAAAAAAAATTCAATAGATAAATTGAAAACAAAATGTCATTCACAACAAACAAAATGATTTCTCACTAAACTACTTCACAAATGATGGATCTTTCGCCAATAAAAAATATTCACTTAACCTAATGTCTAATACCCTTCTTCGTTTGGACTTTTCAATAATTATCCTTTTTTTATATTGGTTCTTTGGCTATTTTAGGCAATTGTTATTTTGGAAAGTGGGTTAGTAGTCATTTTCCAGTTTTTAATCCATTTTGGGTGATATCACCTGTCACATTTTTACACATTTTTTTTAAAAAAAATAAAAAATTAACTTTTAACCATATTTCTAAAACAACAATATGACTTCAATTCTTTTTAAAAATATGTGTTCAAACATTATTGGATATTCAAATATTATTATTTTTCACAACTAATTATATTTGGCCTGATATATTTTTGCAGTAAAAATTTTAAAAGAAGTGTCGGTGTCTACAGGATTAGTATTTTGTACTTTGAGAATTTAAATGCCAAATGCCATGTTTGGTGCACCCTATGAAATGCGTAGCTTATTTTATTTCATTTTAAAAATTTATGTCAAAATATTTGGTATAATTTTCACTTACAAATTATGAGACAAAAATAATTTATATAAGTCAAAAATAAATTTAATTATTGGAAAGTAGGGGAATAAATGTTTTCATTTCTACCTTCTAATTATTAATTTTAATTTGAAAAAATTGTATCAAATAGAACCAAAATATTTTGTGCAATCTCTACTTAAAGTTGATAAGTTAAAAAAATTAATAATGCATATTTATTGAGTTATGTGCATATGATTGAGATTTATACGTTTTTGACCTTGTTTAGAAATAAATTATTTTAATAATTTTTTATTTCTTACAAAAATATATATAAAAAAATAAAAAAAATGATATCATAATTTATAAGAACTTTGTAATTTTTGACTAAAATAAAGTCTTTGTAATAGTTAGTTTAGACCCAATTTCAATTGAGTCAAACTTCACATGACATATATATTCTTATTATGCCTTCATTCGGTGATTTGGTTTTTTAACTTTTTAATTTCTTAATTATTTTAATTTAGGTTAAAAAATTTTATTTGAGATGAATTTTTTAAATTTTTTGAGAAAAAAATTGAAATGATTATTTAACTTATTTTATTTTTTTATAACTATTTTAACATCCACTCATTATGCCAAACATAATTAACCTATATATAGAAGTTTGATAAAACCCAACAAAATATTTACAAAAATACTTAGGTGGTGTTTGGCAAGTGGGTTGGGGCTAAAATAGCCACAAAAGACAAAACAGGCTATTTTAGCCACAACAAACAAAACATCACATCCAACCCATAATCATTACACTATTCTCTCACAAAAAAAAGCCAAAAAGCCAAAAAGTCCTTCCCAAACCAAGCTTTTTAGCCCAGGCTAAAATAGCCAAAAAAGTCAAAAAGCCAAAAAGCCAACCCACTTCCCAAACGGAGGCTTAGAGATCTTGGGTTGGTTTGGCAAGGGCTCATTAGGTTTTTTTGGCTCAATGAGCCATAAAAGACAGAATAGACTCATGAGCCACAACAGACAAAATATCTCATCCAACCCCATAATCATTACACTCTTCTCTCACAAAAAAATCAAAAAAGCCAAAAAGCCAAAAGCCCTTCCCAAACCAAGCTTTTAAGTTCAGGCTCATATAGTCAAAAAAGCCAAAAAGCTAAAAAGTCAACCCACTTTCCAAACGGAGGCTAAAAATTTTATCAAATTTTTTACCAAATATCTCACATGGGTGTGAGACCCACACTTCCATGTGGGTCCCATACCTATGTGAGATATTTGATAGAAAATTTAGTAAAAATTTTGAAATTTCTAACATTATTCAAATATTTATCCACTTTTAAGTATAAATAATTTAAATGAATTAATTATTTAAAAATTTGTGAATTGTTTTAAGGCGGAAGTTGTTTCTATTTTTTTAAAAATTTAAATTTAGTGCAACTATTACTTACTATTTATTAAAAAAAAATAAAGACTTATTTTAACTCCGCTTACTTTAATTTTGTTTAAAATTTGATTGTTTTTATTAATTTTTTATAAAAAAATATATATAATAGGAAAAATAATGTGACACTTATTGGGGGTATTTGGGAAGATAATTTGTGATTAAAATAGTCAAAAAAATTAAAATAAACTAAAATTGTTAATAAGACAAAATAACACATCAAAGTCATAATCATTTCATTTTTTTTTCTCAAAACCATCAAATCAATTAAAAAAAAGTCAATTATCATCTCAAATACAACTATTTTATAGTGTTTCCAGCGCTACATTTTTTCTTTCATCAAATTTAAATTTGATGAAAAAACTCCAGTTTTAGTGCTCCAATGCTATCATCAAATCAGTATCAAAATAAGAATATTTTAAACTTTTCATCAAATTGGAGATGACTGGAGCATTTCATTAAAATACTGTATATAGTCATTGCAGATGTAGAGCAGCAGCAACATCAGAAGACCAGCGGTTGTCCCCGTAGATGTCTACCATCCTTGCAATTACAATAAAAAATTATACTAGCTGGTTGACCAGCTGAGTGTCCTCTTGGTCGTCCTCCCAATCGATCGGTAATTTGATGAACTCTATTGGAACGCTCAATATCAGATCAAATTTTTACTCAAATTTGGTAAAAAAAAGAATAAACATTAGAGATCGTTAAGTAAAAATTTGAGTAAAGACTCCATTTGATATCACGCACTCTAACAAAGGATTTTGAACTTTCATCAAAACACCAGTCGACCAAGTGGATGACCAGGTAAACGACAGGCCAGTTGACCGGCTAGTGTAATTTTTTTCACAAATTTTTACAATGAGGTGGTCATCTACAGGATAACTAGTCGGACATCCGGCTGGTTGTCGGGTGGTGAAAATGGCATATAGTTTCAATGACTATGAACAGTGAATTGACGAAAGATCTCACCCTTCCTCAATTTGGTGAAAGATTTATCACATTCTCAATTTCATACTTATCTGATGAAACGATCGGAGTAACAAAATGGACGTTTTTTCATCAAATTTAGTGCTTGTTTGGCATGTGCTAAAATAGCACATGCTATTTTAGCATATTATTCTATTTTGGTCAAAATCATCTTATTTATGTTATATCACCTCTTTACTACATCACTTTATACTCAACCCATATTTTATATTTTTTTGTAAAATGTCAAAAAGTATGCTAATCTAGTATTTACCAAACAACCCTTTCAATTTAATAAAACAATAAGTGAAACATTGGATATAGTCTTAGTCAAGCTAAAATAGTCAAATTACCAAATTAATCTATTGTAATTTTTTTTTCCCACTAAAAAACTCACTTCCTACATTCCGCCAATCTAAAAAAACACTCCTTCTACGCAAAGAAATTATCTTGTCTTCCAAGAATATTAAGTTTTTGTTTGGGATGTGAGTTGATTTTTTTGACTTTTTGATTTTTTTAGTTTGAGGTTAAAAAGTATCGTTTGAGATAGGTTTTTTGACTTTTTTGACTTTTGTGAGAAAAAAAATAAAATGATTATGAATTGAATGTGACATTTTGTCTATTTAACTAAAACAACATATTTTATCCTATATGACTATCTTAGCCCAAAGTTGCTTCCTAAGCATAGCCTAAACGGAGGTTTGTGTGCCCTTCTAATAATAGTCTATTTTGTCTAATTTATTGTGGCTAAAATAGCCTCAAACCTCCTTACCAAACGGAGGTTTGTGTGCTCTTCTAATAATATTGAATGTTTGATGTAATGTATAAATAAAATAAAATAAGAAATAATGAGTATCAACCTTGGTGCATACCCCCAGTGGGGGTCGCGCCCCCAGTGACATGGCGCGCCCTCACTGGCTGAAAACTCAAAAAAAAAAAAAAAAACAGTTTTTTTTTTGGGCCAATCCCGGAGTGACACCCCCAGTGGGGGTAGGAAGCATTTTTCTAATGAGTATGGACCGATAGGATGGTAAGGAGATACATACACGTAGGGTTGTAAATAAACCGAGCCGAGCAGAGCTTTAGTATATTTAGGCTTGTTTATTAAGATTTTAATGAACCGGAGATCAAACTCGATCTCAATAAAAATTTAACGAACTGAGTTTGAGCTGAATTGGCTTAGGCTTGACTCGAGTTCGAATCTTCTTACGAGTTTTAACAAGCTAAAAAATTTACAAATTCATACTTGTGTATGAAACTAAGGTTACAATTAAAACTTTAATTATACAATTATATATACAATATATATAAACATTCTAAAAAAAAGTTAATATTTTGTCAAAATAATAATATCTATTACTACTATTATATAAATAGACTATCCATAGTTAACTATTATTTATATTTATATTTTTTAAATATATAAATAACATATTTATCTTATTTTTTATACATATTTTTACATTATTTAATATATAAATAATAAATGAGCTGAGTTTTAGGATATTTACACTTGTTTATTAAAAAGTTTACAAATTTAAACTCCAGCTCGAGCTGAAAAAAATTTAACAAATTAATTTTGAAGGAGTTTTTATCGAGCTGAGTTTAAGGAATTATTTGAAATAATCGAAATAAATATATTTTTTTATCTTTTTACGAAAAGACATATAAAAAAATAAAAAAATGATGTGATAAAAAAATATAAAAAAATAAAAAGATGAATTATTTAAAGTATGCCAAATTTGACCTAAAGTTATTCACGAACGATTCTGTTGATTTACGGCCGTATGGTGTATAATATGGGGCGCATTATATGATAATTTTTCGTTTACACGCGCTTGGTGGAGTACTTCGGTCTTGTCTGCTAACCTGCGCAGGTCTGCCATATATTTGCAAGCTCAGAAGATCATGATGCCCTTTCATTTCATCATCACCACAGCTCTTTCACTGTTCTCCTCTCTCTCTCTCTATTAAAGCCCCCAACATATCAGTCCCACCTCTCTCTCTCTCTCTCTCTCTCTCAACCCATACTTTCTTTCTCTCTCTCCTCTCTCTCTCTCTCTCCAAAAGTATAGTCTAGTCTTTAGTCATGGCGGATGGTTTCGAACCCTACCATGTCCCACAACAAAGCAGAAGAGATAAGCTCAGAGTGGTCGTCCAAACCGACCCCTCCGGGTGCGCAGGTTTACTCCCTCTCTACGATCCATCTCTCTTCCCCTCCGATTTGCTATCCTGCGCCAATCTCCACCACCACCAAAACAACCACAACCCACTTCTGGATGAACCCACCAAGCCAAACCCAACTCATAATTCAACTGTCAAACGAGAGGGTGTGAATTTGATGGGTTATGTAGGTTCATCATCTTCCACTTCACAACAACAACAACAACACATCTATATGGATCCACAATCTTCTTTACACATGAACCCTAGCTCAATTCATGATATTAGCAACAACCCATTTCTCTTCACCCCTCAAAACCTTAGAGTTTATGATCAGTCCTTTAATGGTGATGAAGTTGTGGTGTATAAACCTGAACCATTGTCTTTATCTCTCTCTTCCCATCAAACCCACCAAAGCACTCTTCCTCTAGAACTCAATCCACAAAGATACGAGTCTTCAATTTTCACTGACAAGGTCTCCGGTGGTGTCTATGTTGTTCCGAGCATTGTTGGTGGCGGCGGCGGCGGCGGTTCGGGGGCGAATGACTTGTCGAGGAGCTCGGTCCCTCTCGGGCCGTTTACGGGTTATGGGTCGATTCTGAAGGGGTCGAGGTTCTTGAAGCCTGCACAGCAATTGTTGGAAGAGATTTGTGATGTGGGTTTGGGGATTTACGCTGAAAAGATCACCGAAGACTCGGGTTTGATGGATGCTCCGGTGGAGAATTTGGGTGGAAGTGGGGTTGTTGAGGAGTCGGTTAGCGGCGAGCAGCGGAAGAAGAAGTCGAGGCTGATTTCTATGCTGAATGAGGTATGTTTCTCTAAAGAGATCACGAATATTATTGTCTGATTAAGTGTAAGGATTATCAGTTTAATTGGTTTAAATAATGTTAGCTTCTAACGATTTAACTGTAGTGTCGGTTCTTCACTCTTAAGTCATAAGAAAAGTCTACTAATACAGAAATCAATTATAGAATGGGACACAAATTCTGTGATCGGGCTTTGTGCATGTACGAAAGCTGAAATCCTATATGTGTAATAATTCTTGTAATTGCGTTTTAGCCCAGCATGTTTGTTTTAACTATTACGCATAGATGTGACTTGCTGAGTTAGGTTTTTAGGAGTCCCCAAGAATATTGCACAGTGGAGCTAGTGTCCAATTAAGTAAAATTTTGAAGTACTGAGTTAGTCATTGTCAATACTGGCATGCCATTTGTGGTGGTGTTGCATGAATAATTGGCAAAAAAAGCATTTAAACTTTGGTAAATTTCAAACCCATGATCTACTGTCTGCTCTATACCACATTAAATAGTTAAATATTGTCTTAATGTAGAACTTAAGCTATTAAGAAAATGGATAACTTTATTATTTATATCCACTTTACTCCATGTACTCAGGATTAATAGTGGAAAAAGCTCGGATTTACACCAAAAAAAAAAAAAACTTCGATCATTTATGGGTGATAGTTTCTTTGTAATTTATAACTTTGCGTATTCCTTATGGACTAGATGCTTGTCTTTTGGGGGTAGATGGGGGTTATAGAAAGATCACAAAGTGTCTTTTTTGGAAAATAAAGGCGATAAGAGGGAATATATGCACAAAATTGCTGCCATAAAGTGCCTGGCAACCTTAGAATAAAACAGGTTTAATTGGTGACATTGGCAATAAACCTGAGGTATAACGTGTGCATAAAGTGATTAAAGGAATCCATTTGAAAAGAGTTATACTGCGTAAAAAGTGTGTATGGAAAGCATAATGCTATTCCAAAGCCTAAAGAAGATGATTTGACAAGGTGTTACCAACTTGGCAAAGTACAATGTTAAGTGAATTTCTTCTTTTGTGGTCTTGTTTCTCTCCTCTTTATTATGTGGAGTTTAGAATCTCAGTTGGTTGATAAGCAAAGCTTGCACATAAGAGAAACTCTTAAGGGGAAAAAAAGAAAAAGAAAAAGAAAAAGAGAAATGAAAATAGTAAATCTGACAAATAGACCAAAGTTTCAACACATGTAATTTGTTGTTTGAAACACTGTACATTCCTTTGGATCAATCATATAATGAACATGATACAATTGAAGAAGTATACATTAATTTAAAAATCAAGCAATGGTTCTTTTCCAAACAACCAAACCAAGCCTTATGTTCCAATTAAGTGGGGTTGATAGCATAATCTTTTTTTTTTTTTGCCATTCTCTTTGTCAAGTATATGCTCAGTTAAATTAAACAAATATATCTAAATTTTTTACTGTTGCATTCCATGTTAGTTTAGGTCTTCTCATTTTCATAAATTTTCATTTATGGTGATCATGTATGTCACTCCTCCTTATTGTTGCATCTGTAGGTCCTCTTTATACATGTTCAAACCATCTAAACTTGTTTTCTTTCAATTTATCCTTAATTTGTACTACTAATCTTTCGTGAATTTGTTATTTTGCTCGACATAATGAAGTAATATTTTATTAATAATAATCAAAC